GATAGACAGACTCAAGAAGTACAGTCAGCGTCATATAGATCGTCACAGACAAGATATGCAAATATATAGGTACATTAAAAGTATTCAATTATATCGGTACAACAAAAGTCCTCAAAATAATAGATACATTCACCCTGCTCAAATACATCGGTACATACACAGCGTCAAATATATGAGTACATGCAAGATGCTCATAAATATCGTAGCAGCCACAGCGTCATAAGTAACGAAGCAGTCTAGGTGCGCAAAAATATCGGTACATTTGACAAAATTGAACTCTATCTCTATATACTTGTGATACAATTTGGAATAAACTCCTTCTGTTACATTCATTTGACTTTGTATTAACATTATAGGTTGTCCGGAAAGTTCGTTCTGATTTTCGATATAAAGCTTACAATAGACTGCAGCTGAAGTGGATTCATTTTCGGATTTCCACCATTATCAAACGTCACAAAAATTTCTATATTGTGAATAATTTCATTTCATTGGTTGAGATAAAAACTAATTTTTAAAATTTTAGCCAAAAATAAAAGACGTTTTAGGTATAGAGTCGTACCAATATAATTTAAAAACATTTCCAAAAATTTAAGAGAACAGGGTTTTAATTTTCCTTATAAAGCGGCACGAACTTACTGGGCAACCCAATATTTTTCTTCTCCTTAAATTTAAAAGTTTGTCACGCCGAATATGACAGATACGTATTAACTAATATCAAATTTTGCCTTGTCACAATATATATAATACTAGTTTGGCGCAGTATTCTAGTATGTTTGCCGTAATATGTAAGTTTACCGGTTCGAATCTCAGGCTACTTTTTTTTTCATTTATTATACGTTATTTTTTCATAACCAGTAAAAATTTGGTAATGTAAAATTTTGCTCGACATTTTTTTTTTATAATTTTCGCTGTTGGGTAGAAAGAAATTTAAATAAAGTTAACAACAATTATGTCAGACCATCGCGGGTGAAGTGAATGGGCGGAGCGTGGATTGTCTTTGCGGGTTTTAAGTATGGTAGGCGCGGAAACTATACGTACAAGTGTTATCTACATATGTGTGCGCGCCCACGCACACTGGAATGTTTATTGCAATCGACCAAAAATTTGATGTAGTTTGGATATTGACATTCAGTTTTTTTTCTTTGTTTCTTAAATATAATCAGTATCAGTAAAAGGTAAAAGTGTTATTTTTACCGGTACAAGTTTAACAAACATGAGTAATAAACAAATTACATGCCAATAGCATCGCTTTATCTCCTTCATTTTTGTTTGAAATAGAAAAGTACTTTAACGGTCAAACTCATTAGTCCAAGGCAATTTCAAAAAGTACCTAATAATTACGGCGATAGAGTTTAATTACATGTGCTTCGATATTAAAATTAAAAAGTTTAAATATCAAAAAAAAAATAGTGGCTTGGGATTTGAACCGCCGACCTTACGTACCAACGGCGGCGAACATATATGATGACAAACTTAAATTTGATGTTGGTTTTATCTA